TGAGAGGGGCAGAGGAATCGAACTCAGGTCAGCCATGTTGGCTGCTCGCAAGACATATACCTTACCTGTGCTATTGCTCCATCCCCTGTCTGATGTATAGCATGGAAATATTTTCTCCCATTTCATAATATGTGTTTATATTTTCCTTTAGGTACCATGATTTACAGTACCGTTAGCAATTTCTAGTTTACGTTCTACATCAGAGTGTTCCACTCAACCAACATATCCCCTTATACCTCCATCATGGTAAACTCAGTTCTGTAGACTAGTTCTTAGGCTCTGTAGCCTTTGGCCATTTGTTATTACCTTATTGTGTTTCTTTATATCTCAATATAAGAGAGAATGTTATTTATCTGTCTTTCTAGCTGACTTCATTCAGAATGATGCACTCCAGTGTCATCTACATAACAACAAAATTGCATGATTTCATCTTAGAGCCAAGTAGTATTCTACTGTATAACTCTCTATACAGTAGTTTCTTTATCAGTCATCTATTCTTAGACACTAAGTGTTTCCAGATTTTGGCTATCATGAATAATGTTTCAATTACCATAGGAATGAAAATATCTTTTGTTAGTATATTGCACCTTCAGGGCAGATTACCAAGAAGTGAAATTGATGAATCAAATTGCTCAAATTTTAGATTTTTGAGAAGTGAGCATATTGTTTTCCAAGAAGATTAACCCAATAGACACTCCTACCAGCAATCGCTGAGAATTCTTAACCCAAATCCCTGCCAACATTGGTTGCTTTGTTCTTTTTCATGTCTTTCAGTCTTATTGGTGTGCGGTGAAATCTGATTATTGTTTTGACTTATATTTTCATGAGGATAAGAGATGTAAAATTTGGGGGTGCTAGGGCTTGAGGTCAAACCTTGCTGTGCTCAGGTCTTACTCCTGGCTTTGTGCTCAGGAAACAGTCCTGGATAACTCATTTGGGGGGCCACATGGGGGGCTGGGGATTGAATCTGGGTTGGCCATATGCAAGACAAATTCCCTACCCACTGTAATATCATTAAATCTGACACTTTTTTCATATGCCTATTGGTTATCTGAGTGTTTTCTTTGAGAAAGATTTTATTTATCTCTTCTCCCCAATTTTTTATGGAGTTTATTGCTTTTTGTCTAGCATATATATGTATATATCTTGGATATTAGCCCTTTGTCAAATGAGTTGTATGCAAACATTTTCTTTTAGGATGTGAGGTGTCTTTTTATTCTGATTCTTTTCTGGTGCATAAAGTGTCTTAATGTGGTGTAGTCCCATTCATGTATCTTTTGCTTGAACAGTGACATTAAATTTTATCTTATTTTAAAATATAAATGCCTTTCGAAAAAGTATAGTCGAAGTGAAATCTGCACTTGTTTGTTCATTGCAGCACTGTTTACAATAGGCAGAATCTGGAAAAACCTGAGTGCCCGAGAACAGATAACTGGTTAAAGAAACTTTGGTACATTTACACAATGGAGTACTATGTAGCTGTTAGAAAAGATGAAGTCATGAAATTTACATACAAGTGGTACTACATGGAAAGTATCATGTTAAGCGAAATGAGTCAGAAAGAGAGGGATAGACATAGAAAGATTGCATTCATCTGGGGAACATAAAGTAGCAAAATAGGAGACTAATACCCAAGTATGGCCGAGATTAGCACCAGGAATTTTGTTCCATGGCTTAGAGGTCAGCCACGCATGCTATGGGAGAAGGCAGCTCAGATAGAGAAAGGAGCACTAAATAAAGGGTGTTGGGAGGATCCTCCACCCAGGATGGGAGAAGCATGCTGAAAGTAGACTATAGACCAAACATTATTGCCACTCAATGCCTCTTTTGCAAACCAAAACACTCAAAAGAAGAGAGAGAACAAAAGGGAATGCCCTGCCACAGAGGCAGGGTGGGATGGGGGGGATGGGGGTGGGAGGGATACTGGAATCCGTGGTGGTGGGAAATGGGTACTGGTGGAGGGATGGGTATTTGATGATTGTATAATTGAAACCCAAGCACAAAAAATTGTAGGTCTAAAGCTGTACCTCATGGTGTCTCACTAATAAAAAAAATTCATAAATGCCTTTAATATCTCTATTGCCTAATTGCTATGACCAAAACTTCCAATATCATATTGAATAGTAGTGATGAGGCAAGCTTGCCTTTTCTTGTGCCTGATCTTGGAGGGAAGGCTTTCACTTCTAAGCCATTGAGTACAATGTTTGTAGTGGGCTTTTGGTAAATGGCTTTAACTTTGTTGAGGAAAATTTCTTCAACTCCTATTTTACTGAGATTTTTTAATTATGCATAGGCATTGGATCTTGTCAAATGCCTTTTTTGCATCTATTAATATTTTCATATAATTTTTCACTTTTCCTTGCTTGACATATCAAGTTGATTGACTTGCATATATTAAACCACCCTTGCATCCCAGGGATGAATCCTATTTGGTCATAGTGTCTGACTTTTTTTGATGTATTATTGTATCGTTTGCTAATATTTTGTTGAAGATCTTTGAATTTATGTTTATTATAAATTTAGGTATATAGTCCTTCAGTTTTTGTGATGTGTCTGTCTACTTTTGGTATTAGGGTAAAGTATTCCTCACAGACACTGCTTGAGAGGATTTTTGTTTATCCATCTTTCTGAAAGAGCCAGAAAAGGGCAGGGAGTAGGTCTAGAAGAACTCGTGAGTAAATCTATGTAAATCTGTGCTTCTGCTCTAGTGGAGACTTGTGATTATCATTTCTATTTCCTTGATTGTAATTGGCCTGTTCAGCTATTCTACTTTCTCTTGATTTAAGCTTTGAAGGTTATAGGAGACCAAAAATGTATCTACATCTTCTAGATTTCGCTGTTTCAGGTCATAAAGATTTTTAAAAGTAATCCCTGGTGATAATTTGAATTTCTGTGGTTTCTGTTGTGATGTTTCCCCTTCTATTTCTGACTCAACTTAATAGAGTTTTAGATCTTTCTTTGTCAGTCTTGGTAATGGTTTGCCAATCTTGTTTTTTCTTTTAAGAATAAATTCTTGGTTTTGTTGATCTTTTGAAAAAATTTTTAGTTTCTATTTTATTAATTTTCTCTTGATTTTTAGTATTTCCTTCCTTTTTTTAGAGTTCATATTGTTGGACTTTTCCTAGCTTCCTAAACTGTGTAGTTAGGTTAATTGTATGGGGTCTTGATTCCTAATGAAACTTGCATTGCCATGAACTTCCTTTCTAACACCACTTTTACTGTGTCCTACTTCTTTTCCAATTTTTTTCCTTCCCTGTCCTTCTATTTCCGACACTCTAGGTTCAAGAGTGGTCTAGGTGTTTCCATTTGATACCCTGCATTTCCTCATCTTGTTATTCTATTTACCACAGATAAGTGAGATCATCCCATATTTGTTCTTCTGACTTCACTTAACATATCTTCCAGTTTCATCAAAGTTGCAAAACAACTGAATGATTTCATCAGTTTTGCAGTTGCAGAAATGATCCTTTTTTGGGGGGAGGAGGAAATGGTCCAGTTGGCCTTGCTCATCTAAATATAGCCTTATTATTCTATGGAAAGATTTTCTTTAATTCACTTTTGAACTAAGAGTTTGAGAAATAGTTTAACAAAAGGATGACATGCTTGATGTTAATGTAAAGAGATATTTTTTAGTACGTGGGCTTAATTTATTCTATTAGCATCAACTTTCTCCCATAGTCTCAATGCTCAAGCCACATTTGATAGCTATTTTTAACCTAAGAGTTTTTATAATTTTTGTTTCTAGTTTAAATTCATCTGAATAAAATTGTGACAATGTCAGGAGTTGTTCTAATGGCCATTTGGAGAAAGTGACATCTATAGCATATTGGTTTTGCCTCTGGCAAAAATATTCTTTTGATTTTTAACCCTTTGTCTTGAAAATTTACTGTTTGCCTTCCCAGGACTGACCCCAAAGAGAGAACTAGAAATAATCTTGCAGAATTCTTGCCTCAATTTCCTAATAACCGTATCTGTTACTTTTTAAAAAATCAAGTTTTTGCATAAATTGAGGTCATTTTTCTTTGAAGGAACATAGTGTGCCCCGTCTGTCATCTGGGACTCATGGATAGAGTCAAGGTTGTCATGAGAATTTAATAAAATCATAATTTGTGTTTTCTAGAAATAGATCCTAAAGATTCTAACAGATTGACAGAACTATTAGCTCAAACAAGTTAACAGGAACCTAGGAGCTAGGACCTGGGTCAAAGGGCTGGAGCAAGTAGTGGGTAGATTTCCGTAGCCATACAGTCTTTGAGAAGTGCTGAGACAGACCTCAGTCACTTCTAGGACAAACCAAACCAAAATCCTGTCTACATCATTTGATTTGTAAATGTCTCTGAATTAAGCAAATAAAATCTTTAGCTACAAGGAGTGAAGCATAATGGATCTTTCATTTGAGGCTTATAAAAACACTCAAGATTTTTCTTAGCTTTAATTACCTTAGTTAAATCACATTCATTTCCAAGCTACTTATTGCCACTCTGCTATTATATGTCACCAGCCTTTAGGAAAGTAGAAAGGCAGTTAGAATTGCCCACCTTCCCATAATATATATTAAGTGAATATTTACTCAAGTATATTTTACCTCCTCCAGGCTCAAATTTACATATGAGACCCAGCATGTTTTAGGCACTTTTTTGATTATTGAATTAATATCAAAGCTAAGGCTGAGTAAAATACTGGATTATCAAATGGAATATTGTAATTATTTCCCTAGTGTATATTTTAAAAATTATATTATATGAAATATGAAATAGGATGAGATGGAATTAAAGAATTTTAAGAAATAATGTATTGAACATATTTAATACCATCTTTGCCTTAAAGAGACAGTGATAAATTTTTCCAAGAGAATTGGTTAAAGGTCATAGTCATTTATAAAAATATAAAGATAGGTTCAAAAATCTGTATATAATGAACTGAATTGCTGGAGATAAATCATTTATTTTGTGTCTTTGAAAAAATGAAGTCATTTTCTTCTTTCATCTCTTTTGGAGCAGATGGAGCCAAATATCTCTATGGAAGAGGAGAGAAATCACTCCTCAGTGGTCATGTTTGTTCTTCTGGGACTCACAGATGACAAAAAGCTGCAGCTTGTTCTCTTTCCCGTTTTCCTAGGGATCTACCTGGTGACGCTGTTCTGGAACCTGAGTCTGATCATCCTAATCAGGATGGACTCCCACCTGCACACACCCATGTACTTTTTCCTCAGTTGTCTTTCATCGATAGACATCTGCTTTACTGCTTCCATCAGCCCCAGGATGCTTTCAGATTTCCTCAAAGAAGAAAAAACAATTTCTTTCATTGCCTGTGCTACCCAGTACTTTGCTGTTTCTTGGATGGGTCAGGCTGAGTACTGCCTCCTAGCTGCCATGGCCTATGACAGATACGTGGCCATTGGTAACCCTCTGCACTACTCAACGATCATGGCCCCTGGGCTCTGTCAGAAGATGGTGGCTGGAGCCCTTGGCAGTGGTTTGCTTTGCAGTATCCTTGAAACGATTCCTTGTTTTAATATGTATTTCTGTGGGCCATATGTCATCCAACATTTCTTTTGCAACATATCTGAGATTATTCTCTTGTCTTGCTCCAGTCGCTTCATCACCCAAACAATTCTTTTCCTTGCTGCTGTGATTGTTGGGTTTGGCTCTATGCTCTTTATCCTGCTCTCCTATGTTTTTATTGTAGCTTCCATCCTGAAAATATCCTCGGTCAAAGGCAGTCTCAAAGCCTTCAATACCTGTGCCTCCCACCTGGCAGTTGTGACCCTCTTCTATGGCACAGCCCTGGCTGTGTACATGCATCCAAGCTCTGCCCAATCTGAGAAGCAGGATAAGGTGCTCTCAGTTTTCTATCTTATCATTACTCCCATGTTAAACCCTCTCATCTATAGTCTAAGAAACAGGGAGATCAAAGAAGCACTACAGAGGATAATAAAGAAGGCTGCTCATTTTCCTTAGTTAAATTAATAAATAAATATGAAAATGTTACCTGAATTAACAGAAATGTATAACAATAAATTAAAAACAATCGGAGCAGGTATAATTATGCCAATGGTAATTTTATTTGATTATTCCTAAGGTTAAAACTTTAGAATAAGAATACATTTATTTCTATGTTAATATATAACTAGATATATATGTCACAATATTTATGACAAAATTCACACATCCAATATTTTGAACACAGTTAATAATTTTAAATAACTAATTTTATTTGGAAAATATAACCTTTGGATACTCTAGCATGGATAACAGTTATTAGACATGCCCCACTTTGAACACTGATGATATTGGACTAAATGCTACATTTCTAATGTTAAATAGTTCTCATTCAGCAGCATTTGTAGTTTTATTAAATTAATTTTAGTATCCTGTGTGATCATTTAGTTTTTAAAACTTTTTTTTCTTGAGAATATGTGATTAGCAGTACTCTTAATGATGGTGTTTTATTCACATAATTTCAACACCACATCCATCATCACCACTGTATTCATCACCCTTCCCCAAGCATCACGCATCTCCTCCTGTTCAACCACCCCCACCATAAATTCAATTTTGTGCCTCAGTTCTCGTATTGTATTGCCTTGGCCCTGTACCTTGCTGTGTATCTTCAAGTTCCACATATGAGAGAGATAATTCTCTGTCTATCCTTTTGTTTCTGATTGACTTCACTCAGAATATTTTCTAGTTCATTGCTGCAAATTGCATGCTTTTATTCTTTCTTCGAGCTGCATAATATTTCATTGTATATCTATGCCACAATTTGATCTATTCATTAATATTTGGGTGCATCTTAATATTGTACCAAGTGCAATGATGAACATAGGCATGCATATGTCCTTTAGAATCATTTATTTTGTTTGGGGAATAAGTGCCAGGGAGTAGTTTCACTGGGTTTTATGATTGTTCCATTCCAATTGTTTGATAGATATACGTATTGCTTTCCATAAAGGCTGAACTAAGTGACGTAATGTATGTTATAGGGGAACCGCCAACAGTGGATGAGGATTCCTTTCTCACCACAACCCCATCAACAATGACTGCCTCCAGACCTTTTCATATGTGTCATATTTCATTGTTGTTTTGATCTTTTATTTTGTTATTCATGAGTGATAATGAACACTTTTTCCATATGCCCATTGCCCACTAACCTGTACAAACATTTGAAGATGATATCCTTACTAGATTAGAGATGGAAAGGTTTTGAAGCTTTGATAGGTTCACATATTAAAATCTACAATTTTCTCTTTTCCAATAGCTTGAGAATCTCATTGTATGTGTGTGTGTACATATGTGTACATTCTTTGAGAGATAAGTATATAAGTCAATTTTTTTTCTTGAAGCATATCTGTAATCATTACCAGTATATGTGTATACATTTCTTCAATTCTTTGCTTTGATCATATCTGGTGCGGCTCTGGACAATTTCCCAACATTTCTCAGAAGACTTTACATACTAAACACTGAATCTTACCTCTGATACACATGCTCTTCAGATTTTTGAACTACTTCTCCTGCGCACATTACACCTTTATTTCCTTTGATCTCCCTAGCTCCGATTGGGAGGCTCTCAGTTCAGACATGATGCTATTAATCCACCATTTATATCTTAAGAGCATATGATAGAAACTGGAGCACTGACCTTGCATACGTATTTCCAATACTATTCATGCCACTAAATCAATACCCAAGGAGACTTGATAAAGCATGTCATTACTGGTTGGAAGCTTGCCCCAAGAATGCGTGTATTACAGGGGTGAAGGCAAAGGGAGTTAGGACAGAGAAGAAACCAACATGAAAATAATAGTTGAAAATGATCATTTTGGACAGAAACTGAGTGTTGAAAGTAGGTAAAGGGATATACCTGATGATCTTTCATTATCTGTATTGCAAACCATAAGGCCCAAAAAGAAAGACAGATAGACAGAAAGAGAGAGAGAGAAGAAAAGTGCCTGTTATAGGACAACTGTTTATCACAATTATTCAATTAAAAAATAATTTTAAAAAAGAATTTCATTAATATTAAGTCTAAAGGAAAGTTTCCTCATCAACTTCATAAACTTTGCGGAAATTTTGTTATCTTCTTTGTATGGCTTTTGAGGAAAGACAAAAGAAAGAAAATACTTATTATTCTTAAACTCCCATTCCAGAAAGGATTGACTTATTTATTGAACCCATTTATAATTTCATTTGTACATGTTACATGTTATACACACACACATACACACAACTCTACAACATCTAGAAGGACATACTAGAACCAACCTCAAGCCATGGACAAAGGTGGTAGGAGAAGGGATGCAGGGATTCTCCAAGATTTCATCATTGGTAAGAGGAAGGTCCATTACTGAAGCGAGCTCTGTCCTGACACCAGAGGTTCTGACTACACTCTGCCTTCTCAGGGTGGTGAGTTGGCTATGTAGGTGTAACTCTGTGTGATCAAAACAGAGGGCAGAAAGGGAGCAGTCCCACGCCAGAGGGGCTATAAAGAAGCCATTTTGAGGAGGAAGTCCAGCTCTGAGAATCAGGAAATGACTTCTCTGATGAAATCTGACAAAACTTGGAACCCCAGTCACCAGGCACTCACATTCTATAATTGGCAGTTTACTTAGTTCATTGCTGGCGAAACAGACCAACTAGCCATGTTTTGTTGTTTGATCCTCAGAGTCTGACCTAAAGAGTCATAAGGTCAGCAGATGAAGAGAATAAGAAAATAGGTGAGGACTCACTGCACACCTCCACTGCATTTTGTATGGATAACATCAAAGGTCATACAAGACAACACAGGCAGGACAGATGAGCCCAAGACACAGCACTCATGCCAATGGGGCACATCAGTATTCCTTCCCCAAGTGTGGGTGGTGTACTATACGCATGTATGTGTGTCCGTGAGTGTGTGAAGTATTCCTGTGGAAAATCTTACCCTGGCAGGAAGGCAGATCAAAGTCACACTCCAGAGCAATGCGGACTATTGATCAGGGAGTACTGGGTGGTGCCCTTCAGCCAGAATTTGTCTTAATTTGTATCTTGTTCATTCTTTGGGGACCCCTACAAGTCTACGGGGATATGGAGGAGAGTGAGAGGACTGAGCAGCAGTGTGACAGTTTGTAGGGTGTGAGTGTTGAACCTTTGCTGGTCCGGCTCAGCATTGCTGCACGTAAACAGAATACAATAGGCTTATTGAGTACACCCAACCTCTCTCTGTTCAAACATGACATACTCCAGCACCAAGGAAAGCCAGGAGAGTTGTAGGGGTGACATCAGATGTGGAGAGGTCCCCCCACACAGGAACTACTACTTGACCAGGAAGAGCCTTTTAACAAGATGCCAGAACAACCACTGAACAACTCATTGATCTCATGAAGCAAAGGAGGGGGAACCAAGTACAGAGGATCCAGAGGACAAAGGTGAAAAACAAGGATGGATCCTGATCATATGGACAAGAGGAAAGGCAGGTGCGAGTGGGGTTCACCATACTAGGAGTTGTCTCAGGAGCTGGTGATCCAGTGGATCAATCTCAGTGGGCATGGTAGTGGGGGAGACATTCTGTGGCGGGCTGTGGACTGTCTCCCTGCAGGTTCCAGATGGGATCCACTCTTGGACAAGCATTTAGAAGCAGGTGTCAGGGTGATATTTTCTGCTCTTCCATTTCCAGCGCCTTCTCCAGAATAAGAACTGGCTCCTCCTCCAGCATCTCTCCCGTTGAAGGAGGAGACGGTGAGATTGGAGAAGCCTAAAAATCTCCCTAGCAGGCAGCTGCAGTGAGGTCCCCAGAGGCAGCTCCAGAGTTTCCTACAGCATCATCAAAGAAAACTAAGTCTCTGGATCCTGGTGCTGCAACACGTGCAGCCTCACCAAGAGAATCCTTCGATCCTGGAGATGACGTCCCAGCGGCAATACTGGATGATTCTGTTCTGATCCTTACAATAGTTCAGCTGCTGAGTGACAGAGGATTGTTTCAAGTTTGACCCATTAGGAATGTTAATATGGCTCGTCTTGGGATTTCCTGGAGTGGTGTCTGTATCTCATGGTTTTTATTATAATTTTTTATTTTAATAAACTTTCAATTGTCATTCAATGTAAATAGTAGGCTCCCTCAGTTTGATGTAGAATACTGACAATGCTTGGAAACCTTCACTGAATCTGTTTGCAGAATTCTCTGGTCCAATAGGAAAGCTGTAATTGAAAAAACTCTTCCCCATCCTCATTCATCTCTCCTGCAACCTCAGATCTGCTTTTAGTCCCCCACCCCATTGCATATTCTGGTTACCTCCCACCATTAGAATCTCAGAATATCAACATTCCTAATGAGTATCTTACGCAGCAATTAAGCTGAACTGATGGGTTTGGTGTTTGATTTTATTGGAACTGTTTATAAGATTTATCTCTGTATTCTTTATTTCTCCATATCTAATACTTTTTTTTGGATAAAGCATTTTGGCTGGTAGTTTTTAAATCTTTCATTATATTCAGATGACATGACATATACATAGAAGAACCCAAAGAGTCCACTAAAAGCCTTATAGAAATGACAAATCAATACAGTAAAGTAGCAGGTTATAAAATCAGTATGCAATAAATAACAAAATCCATAGACAATATTATGCTTAGTGGTGTTTTTAAAACTAAAAGCTTTTCCCTTATTATCTGAAATAGGACAAACAAATATGTATAATATTACAACTACTCTTTAAAAAATTGTTTTATTGAATAACTGTGAGTTACACAGTTACAAAGTAGTTTATGATTGGGTTTCAGTCATACCCTGTTCCAACACCATCTCTTCATCATTATACATTTCCAACCACCAATGTTCCAAGTTTCCTTCCAGCTACTTGCCCCCACCCCTTCCAGCCTGCCTCTATGGAAGTTTTCTTCTCTTTCTATCTCTCTCTCTTTCTTTCTCTCTCACTCGCTCACTCCTTCCTTTTGAGCATTATCACTTGCAATATAGGTAC